AGGAAATATAGTCAGTAATCTTATAATAACTATTTATTGCAATGATCATTTGGTAAAGGTATATAAACATCAATCACTGAAAATAAAATTTCATACATCTAAAAATAAAATAATGTTGTATTTCAACTGTAGTTGAAGAATAATATTTTAAGTCTTATTTACAAAATGGTAAAATTTTAAGTTTTTTTTATGTAGTTTTATAAAAAAGTGGATGAAAAAATGTTGGCATTAATCTAAACAGAAAGAATCAATAAGATAATTAAATTGCTATACTATAAAATGTCTACTTAACACAAATAAAGCAGCAATTGGAGAATAGAGGACCAAAATAGACTTACTATACAGAGAGAACAAATAGCAAAATGGCAGATGTAAAGTATATCTTCTTAATAATTACATTAAATATAAATGAATCAAACACTCCAGAATTGGCAGGATATGTGAAACAAGCAAAAACAAAACAAAACAAAACAAAAAAAACCAACCAAACAAATAAACAAACAAACAAAAAAAACCATGATCCAAATCTATGCCATCTATAAGAGACACAGCTCATGTTCAAAGACAAATAGGTCATATGTAAAATATTGTAACCAAAAGAAAGCCAGAGTAGCCATAATATTAATGAGACAAAAGAGACTTTAACAAAAATTATTGTAATAAACAGGGACATTTCATAATGACAAGTCAGTCCATCAGGAAAATATAAAAATTTTAAACTTCTCTGCACATATAACAACTGAACCCACAGCACATGAAGTAAGCACTGCAGAACTGGAGGGAGAAACCGACAACTCAACAATGATAGTTAACAATGTTAATCCCCCCTTTTCAGCAGTAGGTACAAACACTAGTCAGAAGATCCATAAGGACACAGACGACTTAGAACTACCAACCTGATGGACACAGAAATATCTGCAACAAATTGTTCAAAAATCAGAATACATGTTCTTCCCAGTAGTGCATGGAATCGCAAGAGCATATAGAATCCTCTCCAGGTCAGACCATATGATAGGCCATAGGAAGCCTAAAGTCACTTAAAGTGATTGAAATAATAAAAGTGTACATTAATGAAATGATCAAAGTAATAAAAAGTACATGGACTTATACAAAAAATAAACCATAGGAATAAAATGAGTTCACAAATATATGGAAATTAAACATTACACTTTTAAATAACTGATCAGTAAAAGAAGAAATCACAAGAGAAATTAGAAAATACTTTGAAATGAACGAAAAAGAAAGCATGATACACCAAAATTTATGAAATGCAGCCAAAGCCGGGACCAGTTTGGCTCAGTGGATAGGGCGTCGGCCTGCAGACTGAAAGGTCCCAGGTTTGATTCTGGTCAAGGGCATGTACCTTGGTTGCGGGCACATCCCTAGTAGGGGGTGTGCAAGAGGCAGCTGATCGATCATGTCTCTCTCATCGATGTTTCTAAGTCTCTATACCTCTCTCTTCCTCTCTGTAAAAACTCAATAAAACATATTAAAAAAAAAAAAAAAGAAAGAAAGAACTTTGAAATGCAGCCAAAGAAGTGTTTGGAAGGAAATTTACAACTGTAATTTGCTGTATTAAAAAAAAAAAAATCTCAAATCAGGAACATAACATTCTTACTTCAGAAATTATAAATAGAAAAAATATTAAAAATGAAAGCCAATAGTAGGGAGTAAATGATAAAGATTAGAGTGCAAATAAAGTATAATAAAAACAATAAAACATTCAAAGTGGCACAGACAACAGTAATAGTTAAACATTTAATTCCCCCTTTTCAGCAGTAGGTAGAAACACTAGTCAGAAGATGAGTGGTGATTGTGGAGGGGGTGGGAGGTGGTGGAGGGAATAGGGATAAATTGTGATGGAAGGAGACTTGACTTGGGGTAATGAGCATACAATATACAGATGATGTATTATACAATTGTACATCTCAGACCTACATAATTTTACTAACTAATGTCACTGCAATAAAGTCAACAGAAAGGAAATGAACATTAAAAAACAAAATAAAATAAAACTGATGGCTGCCAGAGGAGAGTGGGGCGGAGGATGGGTGAAAAAAGGTGGAGGGGAGTATAGCCAGCAATGCTGTGGTAACATGGTAATAGCCGGTTACTAGACTTATTGTGGTGATCACATGGTAAGGTCTATAAATGTTGAATCACCATGCTGTGCACCTGAAACTGATACAATATTGTATAACAACTGCATGTAAATAAATAAGCATACTTTATTAAAAATAAAAGCAAAAAAAAGTTAATAAAACTGGAAGTTTTTTTTTTTTTAAAGATCAGAGATAATGACAAACCATTAGCTAAATTCACCAAGAAACAAGAGGAGATGTTACCACATCTTTTTGTAGTTTTTCCTGGTGACAGGGACCAGAGCCATGTTCGCTGGGACAGATCCCCTTTATGAGGACACTTTCTGATGATTGCAGAACTCATCTGATGCAGACTGCTGAATCTCTCCTTCAGGGGAGCATTCAATACAACTGCTAAGGTTCAACAGATCTCTCAGAGATCATTTAGAAAACAGTTCAAGGCCATTTAGCAGACATTTATGGAGTTATTCATACTAAAGGTCTTCTGGAACTTTCCATTGCAGCTTCTCCTCAATTATAATGTCTATTTAAAAAGAGACTCACAGAATAGGAAAGATTCTCAGCTCCTGCCTCCTGCCAGCCAAAGGTAAGAATTTTGAGGGGACCTATATGAAAAGCTCAGTCTTCATGACAAGATAGGTAGAATCAGAAGATAAATCATTTTTTTTCTTCTAATTGAAGGCAGGTTTCTATTAACCACTGTTGCTTCCTTTTGAGAGAGAATAGTTATGGCCAAAAGGAGCATCATATTCATTCATCTCTGTGAGCCTCAAAGTAAAAGTTTCTTCTCAAATTAGAAATTATCTAACACAGTTGGATCTTGTGATGTATAAAGCAACAAGACCCATCCAACATCCATTCGCAGAGGCCACAGGGACACATTGATCTGTCAGGGTTTGCAGCGGAGACATAAAAGCAACAGCTGAATGATCTTAATAGAACTAAGATGGCCTTATGGTGTGCTTGCTGACACATTTTCTTTTTTTTAAAAATTACACATGCTGAATTTTATTGTTTTGCTCACTAAACCCTATCAATCTCCATGAGCTTATAATTAAGAAAATATTATACTTGGAGGGACTCCCTGCTTTTATCAAGTAACTTTGAAAAGAAATGGAAAAGTACAAGTTGTATAACTGTCTTTACAAATTCCAGGTATTTGAAATGTTAATGTAAGACCACAAGGGATTCTCAGTGTTTTTGTGTGCATGGTAAAGTGCCAGACCATAAAACTGGCTTCAAGTAATTTCATAATACATAGTAAGCAACAAAGATTTTTTTTTTTTTTTTAATTTCCTTCATTCAAAGGTTTGCATTGGCCAAACTTGAGAAGCTGAAAACCCCAATAAAAAGCAAAAGGTAGTTAAGTCCTCTCTCTCCAGCTGGCAGCAGATGGCAGTAGTGATACATAGAAAATCCATTCAGGTGGCTTGAATGCAGTTACCTGCGTTTTTCCTTCTCTTTAAACTTAGGTATCTGCGCTGAACCAGGATTCCTAAGAAGATAATGGGGTTGTCATTCCTTTACTGTTTAACACAGTTTTCATTTCCCTCTTTTTGAAAAATTAAGTGTTTGTTTTAATTTTGTTTAGAGCAATTTTGGCTCACAGCAAAGTTGTCTAGAAGATATTGGGAATTCCTACTTGTCCCAGTTCCACTTAGGCACAGCTTCCCCATTATCAAAATCCCCCAGAGGAGTGGTTACAATTGATGAACCTGCACTGGCCCATCATAACCACTCAAAGTCTATAGTTTACCTCAAGATTCTCTCTTGATGCTGTACATTCTATGGGTTTGGACACTATATCCAAATACATTGTATACTATATAATGGCATGTATCCATTATGATGGCATCATACAGAATATTTTCTTAAAAACCCTCTATACTTGCCTATTCATCCCTCCTCCCTTTAGCCAATCACTGACCATTCTAGTGTATTCATAGTTTTATCTTTTCCAAGGTGTATCATAAGTGAATTATGTAATATGTAGCATTTTTAGATTAGATCCTTTTATAGTAATATGCATTTAAAATTTCTATTTTTTAAAAAATATATTTTATTGATTTTTATACAGAGAGGAAGGGAGAGAGATAGAGAGCTAGAAACATCGATGAGAGAGAGTCATCGATCAGCTGCCTCCTGCACCCCCCCCCCCCCCCCGGGGATATGCCTGCAAGCAAGGTACATGCCCCTGACCGGAATCGAACCCGGGACCCTTCAGTCCCCAAGCCGACGCTCTATCCATTGAGCCAAACTGGTCCCGGCTAAAATTTCTATTTTTTTATAGCTTGGTAGCTGGTTTTCTTTTTTAAAAAATATATTTTTATTGGTTTCAGAGTGGAAGGGAGAGGGAGAGATAGAAACATCAATGATGAGAGAGAATCACTAATCCACTCATCTGCCTCCTGCATGCCCCCTACTTGGGGTGGGGGTGGGTTGCGGGGGTTAGGGGGGCGGTAGGGGGCGGACGGATCAAGCCTGCAACGTGAACATGTGCCCCTGGACTGAACTGAACCTGGGATCCTTCAGTCTACAGGCGGACACTCTATCCACTGAGCCAAACCAGCTAGGATGATTGATAGCTGACTTCTTTATAGCATTGAATAATATTCCATTGTCTGGACATATGACTTTTCTTTAAATAAAGAGATATCTTGTAGCTCTCTTAGACCTTGTGTAGAGTTTCCACATTTTTTTTTCCCATTCAAACTGCTATTTGGCACTCGGATGCATCATTCACGAACATGCTCCATTCAAACATTCTAGGGAAACGGGCTCTTGAACCTCTCAGACCGTGGGTGTCTGGGACACGCTCCTGACTGTGTCATATAATCACTTTTCCGAAGTGGAACTTTCCGAAGTCAGATAGCAATGGAGGGTCTCCGCTTCTTTCAGATCCCTGGGACATCGTCTGTGGTTCAGAGGAAATGGAAGCCCCTGCAGCCCGTTTCGCAGCCTCGAGGGTCAGGACAGCAGACTAAGTCCAGGATTAGCGCCGTGGCTGCTGAAATAAAGCAGATCCGAGCCAGACGAAAAACAGCCCGCATGCTGATGGTGGTGCTTTTGGTGTTTGCAATTTGCTATCTACCAATTAGCATCCTCAACGTGCTAAAGAGGTACGGTTTACCTATTATTTGAAAATAAAGTGGCCTGACATTTCTTGCTTCCGAAGAACTTCTTTTTTTTAAGCCAGAGAAAAACTGAAGCCCTCTGTCTAGATAGCTTGTCAGGCTTGATAACGGTGTTGTTACCAGCAGGTAAAGGGCAAACATCCTTTTGGAGCGCTCAGACTATAAATGCTCTTGTCCATGCAAATTCCCTGTTGAATGGCAGACACAAAGCAGACATTCCCTGATCTCTTCGATCTAATTGCAGAAAGAAAAAAAAAAGTTCTAATGCAAAAAAACTCATTTACAGCTTGGAATTCTCTTTTGATCAGAACGAATGGGTTTTCCAAAGTTTTCAACTGACATGGGGGACTGTGACAGAATTCCATCTAAAGGCTAAAAAAGAGATAAGAATATTTTGTTAGCATTCTAATTATGCTTAAACGTACATTTGTGAGCACATGAACACAAAAATGAACTCATGACACTGTGTTTGAATGTTTAAACAGAGAGAAAGATAATCCGTTTCCTAAAGTTATTGAATCAAACTCAGGGTGAATTTTATTATTATTTTTTGTAATCAGTTCAAAATTTTTCAGCCAGAGAAAGCCTGTCATGTATTTCACTGCAGACACACTGTTAACACAATTGATCAACACATACACAGCCAATGCAGGAGCAATGAAGGGCACACTTGAACTTTATGGCCAGCCAACTTTATCGGAACTCATCAGAACTGTTGCACGTCCACTGGTCCCAAAGTAATCCTAATTCTGTTTATAATAGACTTAGAACTACAACTAGGTTTGCTGCTCTCACTTTTCCCTGATTCAGGGTCAATATCATGTTCCTCGCAGCTGGGGACTCTGGAGAGAGCTTTGGCTGGAGTTGTGCAGACAAAAGGTGGTAGAATCAGCTGCAAAGATTTCTCATTCTCTTTGGCCCTTTTACTGAGTGCTTAGTGGCTTTTCCAACGGCGAAAAAAGTGGAAAATGCACTTTTGTTTAGTAACATTATTTACTGCAGGCTCAGTTTTAAATGTAAAAGATTTCAGCCGCCTGTGTCCTTGGCTCACAAATAAATGAGCGACTTGATTCTCCATATCTTTCCATAATTTCCTTATTTTTTTCTTGCCCATAGCAATCCTATACACATTTATTGTGATCTTTTGCCAAATGACGTTTTCTGCCCCTAAGAACTTTGTAAATATGCTGTGAAAATGGATGGGTTTTCTCCTCACTTTTTTCTTTCTTTTTGTACTTTTATTTTAGCCAGTCTAAATTCAATGAAAATTAGATTTACTGCTCTCTGGAATGCTCATTTGGATTTCCTGCATCTCGGCGCTTGTACTTTCCTTAAGCTACTTCCAAATACCTACACGTCCACAATATTTCTATTATTCTTCCAACTTAAATACCTTCCTTTTCAAGGAAAGGAAATTGCTTTCTAAGGAGAAGGTCCATGTTTAATTTAGAATATTTTCGATTTTTTGAGCATTCTGCTCTTTTCCACAAAATAAATAATAACCTCAAAAATCATTTTCTCTTTACCACACAAAACATTTTCTTTAAATGTGTATCTCTTTGCTCTTGCATAATATAATTATTGAAAAGATATTCGTTTGCCAGAATCACACTGGATTTCCTGTTGTCCTTTCTTTGCTTACAGAGTATTTGGGATGTTTACCCACACAGAAGACAGAGAGACTGTATATGCCTGGTTTACATTTTCACACTGGCTTGTATATGCCAATAGTGCTGCGAACCCAATTATTTATAATTTTCTCAGTGGTAAGTTTGCAACTGTTTCTTCTGTATAAGCCATAGCTCTAACCAAGGGTGAGGGATCAATGACCAGAGGTTTTGAACACTCTTGAACTAGATGAAGATCTTAGGTGCTGTACAGTGATAATTTTTTTAATTTTTTTTTCTGATGTAATTTATCTTGAGGTTTTCCCCTTATGAGCAGAAACACACTACCTAGAGTAATAGAGAGAATTATCTAAGGATTCCTCTCCCTTCCCTGAACTCATAAAACTTAGAAGAAATTTTGTAATAGGAAGAAAGTGAAAATTGTGAGACCACAGAAGCTTGCTTGTCGAGACCCACAGGTTGAGAACCACTAGCAGTGTCTCCTAAGACCATCGGAAAACACAGATCTTTACATTATAATTCAAAACAGTAGCAAAATTACAGTTATGAAGTAGCAACAAAAATAATTTTATGGTTGGGGGTCACCACAACATGAGGAACTGTATTAAAGGGTCACAGTATTAGAAAAGTCAAGAACCACTATCCTACGTTAAAGGTTAATTTCTGAAAATGTAAAATAAGTTTGTCTGAAATAAAACAGCCATGCTACATTATTTTCCTGGCCAACATTTGTAGCCTAATTGAGATTGAATTGGAACCCTTCCACTTTTAGGAACTTTTCCATTCACATTAATCTTGTATGTAACATCTCTTGGGTTTTTCTCAAGATTCCTCACTGACCACAAAAAAATGATATTCCTCCTAAATAACACCTAAGCTAAGTGGCACACCACACGCATTTGTAAATTATTTAACCTGTTTATGAATCTATACAATGATTAAAATTATTTAGCTAATTATTGTTTTATTTACAAACATTTTCGTCTGACTTTTACAACTGTGTTTTAATTAGCCATGTCTTTACATTGTCTTATTCTTTAACTGGTTGGTTATTTCTTTTTCATTTCTACTTCCAAATATCTGGTAATTATATATGGAGCCATAAGCAATTTACTTTATTGAGCACCTAATAAAGTATGTGCATTTTGTAACTTCATATTTGGCCTTCTGGGTTATAAAAATAAAAATTAGTCAATAATTGATTTTTTTTAAATAATTTTTTATCCAAACATTGCACATACCCTATATGTATTATCTGCTTTAGTTCAGCTTTCAGAAAAGCAGGTGGTATGTGTGTGAGGCTCGTTTTGTGTCCAGGTGCCCCTTTTCATTGCCTTCCTTGCCACACCCAATTCCAGTTTCCAAAACAAAGACCCCATGCCCCTGGAGATAACCAGATAAGACTGCTCAGCTGAAACCGGTTTGGCTCAATGGATAGAGCATCGGCTTGGGGACTGAAAGGTCCTGGGTTCGATTTCGGACAAGGGCATGTACCTTGGTTGCGGGCATATCCCCAGTAGGTGGTGTGCAAGGGACAGCTGATCGATGACTCTCTCTCATCGATGTTTCTAACTCTCTATCTCTCTCCGTTCCTCTCTGTACAAAATCAATAAAATATATTAAAAAAAAAAAAAAAAAAAGACTGCTCAGTGCTGTTTGAAGGGAGAGGGGCATGTGGAGCTGTGACTTAGAAAGCAGTGAGGAAGCAGTTGGCAAGGGATTAGGGATGACTAACTCGCTGAGCCTTGTACTAAGCAGGTAAAACCTATTAGGAGGTTGTAGGGGGAAATGTTTGAAACAGAAGCCACAGAACAAGTCAAAATGCAATTATGTGGTAAAGAGTGAGCTAAAAATCACTGGGGACTTAGGTTCCTGCTCTTGTATCATTTATCCCTTAACCTTCATCTTCACCTGTAATCACTCAATAACCCAATTTGGTTATTGAAGCTCAGAAAAAAAATAAATTATAATTCCCAACACTGCCATTTACCCTTAAAAAGGTTATTGTTTTATTTTCTTACCTCTCCAATTCCGTGTCAGTAATTTTAAAGACAAGGAATAACTTCTAAAATCGGTGTGTGTGTGTTTTAAGTATTGTTCAGTCTAGGCAGATTATAAAACTTCAGGCTCTGTAGATCTTTTAAGATATTTTTCTAGATATTTTGTTCAATTGATTGTTTCAGTAGAAAAGTTTCTTCTGAGTAAAAAGGGGTAAGTCTGTATAGTTTGGGTTTGTTCAATGTAAGTTTTTATCATTTTTGAAATTATTAAATATTTCTGGACATTCTTCTACTGATCACTTTTATAACAGTTAACTACTTAAAAGTAATCCGCACTCAAAAATATATAAGGTTTGACTCAAAAGGAATGAGACAGACTCCAAATACAAGGGCGAAAAACAGTCTCATTATTTTATGAAAATACCTCATTGTTTCAAGAGTCTACCAAGCTTCCCCATAACGCAATTTCCTTTTCCTATTTTCCCCATCTTTGCAAAATGTGGCACTTCATTGTTAGCTTGGCTCAAGGGAGCCACTCAGCTGTACCCTTACTCGTGATTTGTTAAGACATATTTACGCACAATTCTTTTTCCTTTCCTTCTCCCCCGCCTGCCAGGAAAATTTCGAGAGGAATTTAAAGCTGCTTTTTCATGCTGTTGCCTGGGCCCTCACCATCGCCAGGAGGATCGGCTTGCCAGAGGGCGGACCAGCACAGAGAGCAGAAAGTCCCTGACCACCCAGATCAGCAACTTTGATAACATATCAAAACTCTCAGAGCAAGTCGTGCTCACCAGTATAAGCACACTCCCAGTAGCCAACGGGGCGGGGCTGCTTCAAAACTGGTAGAATATTGATTTACATTACAAGGATACCTGAGTAAAATGATTCTTTTTTGTCTTTTTAGTTCACGGAAATCTTAGGATTTGACCCATCTGAAGCTAAAATTACTTGTGGACCTATTTATTTATTTATTTATTTATTTATTTATTTGCAAAAGAAAAAACCTATTGCTCTTTGGAAATAAAAGTCAGTTTAAACTAATTTCTCAACTATTGATTTAAATATGTTAGACGTTTCACTTTCAACTGCATTGATTTCAGGCTATTTCATTTCAGTTTCCTGTTTTATGCTTTGTGTGCATCAAATGCTTATGTATTTCCAATTCAAATTATTTCCATTTCACATTCAAACTGGTTGCTAAAAATTACCCAAAGTTCTCCTGTAGTTTTTTTTTTTTTTTTTTTTTTTGGCAACTAAGAGAAGTAGCAAGTACTAACTGAATTAAAGACATGTTAGTTGATTTCATTGTTTAAAAAAAAAAGATCACAAGGGACTGTCATTCTGATGTGACATCGGAGAGAATATTTATTTATAGAATAGCATATTATATTAGATAACTCAAAAGCTACTTTCCAAAACCACATAAAAATAAACTATTAAACTTTATTTTTCATGAATTCTATCACTCAGTAACACAATTTTCTCAGGTTTGTGACTTTACCATGGCTAACATTTCTCATCTCAACATATGGCCAGTAAGACGCAGTGTTGGCATAAAGATTTTGGAGTAACTATGAATACATAATAATTTCCATCTCTAAGACTTCAACACTTAAGAATAAGGTAAAATCACATGATTGTACTCTTCTAACCAGTGAAAATGATGTAGTCAGCCTTGGTGGATTCCATGAAGAATGCAATTTACAAAGAAAAGTAGTGGACCCACTAAATCCCAGCTGGCTTCCCTATCGCACAGGTTCATACTATGATGGTAAACATTTGCCTTTTTTTAAATCCCGTAAACATTGCTCAAGCACCTACCAGAAGGCACCAGCTGCGCTGTGTGCTAGGAGATGAGGTGGGGGTCGATATAAACGTGCCTTTCAAAGAGCTCAGGTCTACTGAGAGAGCAGGCTGATCCAGGCCGCGGGGCGGCAAAGCATTCTGAGGGGCAGGTTCCCACACCCACAGAGCAGCGACAGCTAGGATGCTGTTCCTACCAAGGTTGGCACTGTTTTTTGTTTGTTTGTTTCTACTTAATTACAGCGACATTGTTGATGCCAGTGAATGCCTCTAGGCATGTGGCTGAGAGCCAGGTGATTAGACTAATGGAGGGACTTGCTCTCAACCTACGCACAAATGAACAGGAGCAGTATGTTTTGTACAAATATATGCTCTGGGGTTCAAAGCGCTGGATAGTTCAAATTTGTTTTTCTGCACAATTTTTCTGATTCAAATGTTCACTTCAAAATTAAGTTGAAAGTAAAAAACCTTTTTCTAAAGACTTGCCCTTCTCTGTAAGAGCAGGTGTTCTTATTGATTGAAACAAAAAAAAATGAACAATAATATTTAAGAAAGATTTCCATAGATGATAAAAATTATCCTCTTCTTTTCTTGATTTTACCCAACTCATCACTTTTTGAAAGAAGTAATACAACCAAATTATACACGAGTCATTTTCAAATTTTAGAATTGGGGACTACTTTGTTGTTGTTTTTTTTACTATTTAAAGCAAAACTACTCTCACGTGAGGATTATTGAAATGATATTACTAGTTAGCAAAACGATATCAATAAAATCAAAAGTAATATAACTCTTCTTCCCTTTGTACATCTGAGATCTTTTTTTCTTATTTATGCCTCATGAAAGGGGAGTTGTAATGTTCAGATTGTGAAAGAAGCTAGCACTTTAAATAGTTTGAAGATAACTTCAGATACTATTGATAACATGCCTTAATAGCTGAATAAAATCGCAGAGTAAGAGCTAAATCTTTAGACCCTAATATATATCAAGTTTTTTATTTATTTATTTATTATTTATTTTTTTTAATTTAAGAATGAGAGGAGAGAGAGAGAAAGCGAGAGAGAGCGAGCGAGTGCGCTAGTTCACAGTTCTGTGGTTGTGTGCCAAGGACATTCTCAGAAGTCAGAATTCCTTTGTTCTAAATTGGTGATTCTCCCTGTGTGGTTCCTGTTCCGTCAGCATCAGCATGGCCTGAGATTTTATTAGACATGCAAATTTCCACCCTATCCTAGATCTGCTAAATCAGAAACTTTTGAGGGTGGTATCAGAAATCTGTGTGTTAACAAGCCCCGCAGGTAATTCTGAAGCATCCTAAAATTGAGAACCAAATCACTGCTCCAAATATTACTACTTGGTACCTATTTATCATCCATGTGATAAAAAGTGTTTACTGCACAGCTATTTACAATAGGGACCACTGTCATCCCCACTGTCAGCCTGCTTGGAGGTCTGAAAAAAGAGGCTGAGCATCAGTGTTGAATGTCACCCAATGTCATCTCAGTTCAAGAGATTACGGTTTATGGAATAATCGTCCCTGAGCTACAAGTGCAGTGTGAAAGAAGACTGATTTTATAGCCCATACTTGGATGGCCAGTTTCTAATTAAAAAAAAAAAGTCCAATTTCCAACTTTTTCCCCACTAAGTTATTAAGGCTACTTTTGTGGAAGTAGTTTCTAAGAATAAATATTACCTGAGAGAAAAGTGAGCAAACACCAACTTTTATGAGAAACTGAGGAAGTAGAATAATAGCCTGTGCATGTTGTGCTCAATACATTCATATAGGAATCCTTCTAAGAGGTCTAGATCTAAATCCTCTTATCTTAATGGAACAAAGTAAAGAAATAGGTATTCCCCAAACCTGCCAATCTATGGAACAAAGGGTCAACTCCTTACCTCATTATGTGCTAATAACACAAATGAGAAGATGTCTTATAAAAAGAATGTGTTGTGACTGTTTTATGGTATAAATAAAATAAGTATCTTTTTTATATTTAAAAGACGTAATGTAAAATGTCATTAATGTTACTGAAATTTATTATCAATAATTTTATCTAATATGAATTCATTTGATTTTTATTGTTTCTGAATTTCTGCAAACCCATGAAAAATTTAACATGTGAATTTATTCTTAGCAAAATAGGACTTGAGGCATTTCTTGGATATTAAATGTTAGAAACCATTGATGGGTTAATTGTAAACGTGTTACACACAATGATATTGAATTTCATTCCCAGTGCACATTGTTTTAATAAAGATACAGGTAAATATGCCTATAAACATAATTTGGATATGCATAAACCTGAAATATCAGAATGACAAAATCTGAAGACACTTACTGGTCACAAATCATGAGGAGGGCTATTATTATTTTCATACTAGTGTAATAATAGAATGTTTCATTTGACATAAATCATAATAGTAATCACTTGCATTTGAAAACAATCTGAATAGTCATTACAATTTAGAAAGCTTTTCAACTCTAGTTAATTTTATAACAGATGACTTTTCTACTTCCTCTAAGTTACAAGTCAAAAAAAGAGTACATTCAATTAGGTCATGCACAAAATTAGTTTTCAAATGGCATGAAGCTAAATAATAGATTTTTTAAAAAGACAGTAAACAAAGGAAAAACTAGTAATATACTAGTAAGTCTCTTCTATTACCTTATATACTACAGAAAATGAACTGCCATGGCATGAATAACACTGTCATCTCCCAAAATCCAAAGGGGATTATTTTCTAGAGACTATTGCAATCAAAGGGGGCAAAAAGCCACGTATTTCTATTATCTTACATTTTCTTTATAAGCTTTGGAGCTAGCGTGTCTTTAAGTTTTTCATGAAATGTATTTCTCTAATTGTTGTATCCCATGTGTGTAACATCACTTGTTTAATAATTATCTTACACACTTAAAGTTCCTTATGCCTGATTTACTGTGTCTTCATGAAGAATTTTGTATCAAATCCAATGTGATAGCACACCAACTACTGTGAAGGATGCTCGTTATGTAATTTTTAAGTAAAAACCATATTGAGAATTCAATAATCACATTCACACTGTCCTCTGTATTGTATGAAAAATCTTGTTGATTTGATAAATTGGATATTCAGTCATAACTAGTGTCAAATCTTTGCAGTTAAGGATTAAATTAAGCCTTCTGGTACAGTACTTAATAACCAAATATTTTTCTCAATAAGGTTATATAACCAGGGATAATCATGATATAAAAGGTTTTTAATGTTATTTTAAGAGCAGGAACTGTAATAAAGATGGTTAAGATTAATATAGAAATACTTCAAAAATTTTGTAAAACCACATATGTATGTAGAACATTAACTTTTGGACCTTTTATCTGAGTGAAGAGACTTAGAGAAAACGATAACTTTGTGATTTTAAATTAATTATTAGAATAGATAGTATAATGTTTACATAAGTAAGCAATTCATTTTTCTTGGTCATTATATGAAAAACTTAGCATTATTTTAATTTTAATGATAAAGTTTAAACATGTATATTTTCTTCTTTTCATTTACCTAAATGCTTCTGAGACATGACAGAATCAACTACCAAGGAATTCGATTTAAATTCAGTTTTATTCCACAATGTTTATTTTAACTGGTATCAAAAATGGAACTAAAATAACTGGGCAAGGTAAACATTTGCTCCTTATACAGAACTAGAGGCTCTGTGCACAAAATTCGTGCACGGGAGTGGGGCAGGGGTCTCCCTCAGCCCAGCCTGCACCCTTTCCAATCTGGAACCCTGTGAGGGATGTCAGACTGCCCATTTAGGGATCGGGTCTAAATGGGCAGTCTGACATCCCTCTCACAATCCAGGACTGCTGGCTCCCAACTGCTCACCTTGCCTGTCTTCCTGATTGCCCTTAACAGCTTCTGCCTGCCAGCCTGATCACCCCTTAACCACTCCCATGCCAGCCTGATTGATGTCTAACTACTACCCTGCCAGCCTGTTTGCCCCCAACTTCCCTCCTTTGCTGGCCTGGTCACCCCTAACTGCCCTCCCCTACAGGCCTTGTGCCACCCAACTGCCCTCCCCTACTGGCCATCTTGCGGTGGCCATCTTATGTGTTGGAGTGATGGTCAATCTGCATATTACTTTTTTATTAGATAGAAAAGAGGCCTGGTGCATGGGTGGGGGCCAGCTGGTTTGTCCTGAAGGGTGTCCCAGATCAGGGTGGGGGTACCCTTGGGGCATGGGCGGCCTGGGTGAGGGGCCTATGGTTGTTTGCAGGCTGGCCAAGCTCCCCAGTGACCCAAGTAGAGGCCTTGGTATCTGGAATTTATTTACCTTCTGCAATTGAAACTTTGTAGCCTGGAGCAGAGCCAACCCTTCTGCTGTCTCCCTGGTGGCTGGGGATTTATTTACCTTCTATAATTGAAACTTTGTAGTCTTAAGGGGAGGCCTGGGCCAGCCAGGGTATGTGGAAAGCTTGGCTTCCTCTATCACCTGGGAAACTCAAGTCTCCCTCCTGCTTTCTCTGTGGCTGCAACCATCTTGGGTGGGTTAATTTGCATACTTGCTCTGATTGGCTATTGGGTGTGGCTTGTGGGCATAGCAGAGTGATGGTTAATTTGCATGTTACTTTTTTATAATACAGAATATGATTTGAGAGTGGGGTGGTTTCTAAAGACTAATTGAAGCTCTAAGTAAATTCCTAAGAAGGACTAACTATCTCATTGGTGAGGATGTTGTTATTGTTTTCTTAACATGCTTTTATTGATTTTTATTTTTTATTTTTTTTATTATTTTTAAAAAATATATGTTTTATTGATTTTGTACAGAGAGGAAGGGAGACAGAGAGCTAGAAATGTCAATGAAAGAGAGTCATTGCTCAGCTGCCTCTTGCACACCCCCCACTGGAGATATGCCCGCAACCAAGGTACATGCTGTTGACCGGAATCGAACCTGGGTCACCCCAGTCCCCAAGCCGATGCTCTATCCATTGAGCCAAACCGTCTCAGCTGTTTTTATTGATTTTTAGAAAAAGAGGAAGTGAGAGGGATAGAGAGACAGAAACATCCAAACATCTATGAGAGAGAAACATCATCTGTAGGCTGCTTTATGCACGCCCCCTAGTGGGGATCAAACTGGCAACCCAGTCATGTGCCCTGACCAGGAATGGTTCATGGGTCCATGTTTAACCATTGAGCAACACCATCTGGTTGAGATTATTTGATTTGAGGAATCCATTAGCACAGATTATATATTTGCCTCTAGGCCTTCTAGTCAGCCCTGAAGAGGGGACAGCCATTTTTACTTGCAACTAGAACAGTGACTATGAATGGGAAGCTGGGTATCAAAGAAAACTTTCTTGAAGCACCTCTCTGGCCTTGCCCTGCTTGGCACTGTTTCTCCCCCTCCAGCTGTAGTTGTTACCCCTAGTTTTACCCCCAAGCTAAGCATGGCCTAACCACCCTCCACAGCTTGCCTTGTCCTATAGAATTCCTGGACCTTCCTAGGCCCAAACCCAGACAATAGGCATGAGTCATTGCCTCAGGTAGTTGTTAATCTCCTGTGGTAAAGCAATTACCAAGTGGCTAATTTGAAAACAAATGAAGCAGAGCCCAAGGGGAAAAAAAGACACATTTTAAAATTTAAAAGTTTACAATTTTACATCCAAACACAAGCAGTTTATTTTCTTCCCAGAATATCTGTGTTTATCATTGGCCTCTGGATCTGTCACCTCCCTTTCTAAGCTTCAGCTGAGTTTGTTGCCTCCACTTGGAAAGGATCTGAATTTTGGGATTCTTAGGCCAAGGTCACAGCAGGTCACTAGGCCTAAAGAAGTACTGTTTGTGCCACTTTAGGAAACAAACATCTATTCCATCCATAGACCCAGCCTCTAGGGAATAACAGAAAGATAATACTCAATTCTTAAAATATACAAACTGTTGCTATTATGCAATTTCTAATTAATTTCACAACATTTGAGTTAATATAATTCCCAAAGGGAGACTGGAGCAAACATCATGTTTGTGGAACTGGCAAATGTTTCCTTAACATTACATGGCAACATGAAGCTTAATTTACTGCAGATGTATTAACAAGTGCATCTCCAGGAAGAAGTGATGTTCCTTTCCATAGGCGCACAGATATAAAAGCTCTCCTTAGATAGTCTAGGCCGGTGGTCAGCAAACTGCAGCTCATGAGCCACATGTGGCTCTTTGGCCCCTTGAGTGTGGCTCTTCCACAAAATACCAAGGCCCAGGCGAGTCTGTTTTGAAGAAGTGGCATTAGAAGAAGTTTAAGTTTAAAAATTTTGGCTCTCAAAAGAAATTTCAATCATTGTACTGTTGATATTTGGCTCTGTTGACTAATGAGTTTGCCGACCACTGGTCTAGGTAAATGAAGTGGAGAATTTGTTTATACAGGTGTGTCTAGATCGTGCAGAAAAATCCACTAAAGAATGGGAAGAATATCACGTCATATACATGTGTATGCATTTGTGTGTGTGTAACAGTGATTGCTGTAGGTAGGTTGATAGATTAGATAGACAGATGATAAATGGTAGGTAGGTAGATGGATGATAGATATCACTCAGTTATTTAGTCTGAGAATATCCCATAATGTATATTAAGTTAATATCTCAACCTTTTAAAGATTTCCCTTCATCTACTTTACTCCTATTTTAAATTATGTATTTTAGTTTGGTGGCTAGTTTTCCTCAATGTTTCCAAGTATCTAGGTTCCATATTTCTGCTATTTTGGACAGCCTTTTGTCTAAGACAATTTTCTCCATTCCTTTATATTTTATTTATTTATTTATCTAGCAATTCTATAGTTATAGCAATCTGGAACAAATGAAAAGGAGAAATCTATAAACTGCCCATGTCCTCCAAAATTTCATTAAGTGGTCAGTAAGAATTGAAGCTTCTTGATGAAACAGGCTTTCTATGTATTGTGTACTGCTATATCACTGGTTTCTAAAATGGTGCCTGGCAGATGGAAGCCACTTAATACATATTTCTTGAATTAATGAATTAATAATCATTCTTTTGTTACTTTTAACCTCCAAATTCTTCCCCTGTTCTCTCTGTAACTTCCTTTCCACTGAAAGCAAAACATCCTATATTCTGAGTCTATAACATTCATATATTTTTCTTTACCAAAATTAAGCTGTACATTGAGAACACTAATTCCCATTCCCCAACTACCATCAAACTAGGATATTACACCAGTGTTCTCTTCATCAACCCTAAACCCAGATGACTACTCTTCCATTCAGAAGTGAAAGTAAAGCCTCTTCGTGGGACTTTACCATTATTGACCTCTCTCTGTTGCTGGCATTGAAAGCCTTTTTATCTCTCTTCCTTTCACACACATATGCTTGCCTAGAAGGCAGACTCTCCAGCCCCGGGCCATGTGGATTAAGTACCCAGAATCCAGCCTTACATTTCCTTGTTCTTAATGTGAAAGACTTTGACTCACTATTCTTCATGAAACCACTCTTATAAGGCAGTTTTACATAAAGCAGCTCATAGGTTGCACCTTAATCTTTATCTCTTATGACAACAGGTCCTCCTCTGACATGCAAACTCTTAGTCTATTGTGAGCCAACAATCACTTACCCATCTCTTAATATCATGCTTATGTTCCCACTACAATGTTCCTTCTAATCTCCAATGGGATTACTGTTAACCCTTTTATTTCATTCCAGTACATTAGTCCCATCCTGGGTTTGCCTTTTTTCCCAGTCAGAAAACTAAGACCATGAGGTAGTATTGCACTCATTCCCATACATTATTTACTTAAGAAAAATATGTTTGCCCTGATGAAGAGATCATGGCAGTTCTTATTACAACCAAGAGCCTGCTGTTCTATAGTCTTGAAAATCGGTGCTTTGAGCAAGCTGTAAAGGCCTTACTGAGTTAGATGCGATGCCAGCCACTCTTCTTTTATATGGGATTGCACTCCAGAGATTTACATCTCATGTGGAAAGTATGATGTGGCATTAATTATAGCCTTTTCTTTACCATATCACCGCTATCATCAGCCCTTCTTATTCTTTCTCCTACGTCAGA